GGGTAGCTGCTAGAGCAGCTCTGCTTTCAACTTGAATGCAGTTTTCATAGAAATCTTAGAGCATGGGGTGTTGGATTTGAGCCTTCCCATATCTAGATCCCATGCCTGAAAACCCGTGTTTGAAACGCTCACAGGCAAATCTTCAAAGTCCTTTCATCCTGGAGAGGCCCGTGAGCAGCACGCCCATTCTCTCAGGGACAAGCGTCTTTGCCCAAAGCCAGGAAAGAAAGCCTCCCCACCTTTACTAACCCTGCTCAAATGGGAGAGTGGACTAATCCGGGGCAGCCCTGCCGCCACCCTGCCCAGCAGTCAGCCCACACTGTCTGCACCTGTTGCAGGGCAGTAATGGGGTCGGCTATCAGTCCTCCAACCCTCAGTCCTGGGTGCCCCCACCCGTTCGGCCTGTTTACATACCCCATAATACAGGTACCACGATAAGTGATATGAATAACTTTGAGATAGCCTCCCCATAAGCAGGCCTGGTGGCCCACACCTGTAATCCCAGGAAGCTGAAGCTGGATGGTGACAAGTTGGAGGCTAGCCTGGACTACATACTGGCTAACTAACCGGACAACCAGGGCTATAGACTGAGAGTCTCGAGTACACAAAATTTAGCATCTGTGTCTGTGTGTTCCTAGACATATATATATATATTTGTGATTGGTCATCCACATTGCAGCATGTATCAGTGCATCCCTCACTACCAAGTAGAGGTCCATTGTGTAACCGATACACCACATCTGATTTACCCATCTACCAGCAATGTACCACTGTTTCTACTGTTGGCTCCTGTGAATAACAGTCATGAAGATCAGTGTACAACTTTCAGTGTACGTTTTCAATTGTCTTCAGTGACTCACGGAGTGAAACTCCTGGCTCATATATTAGCTATGTGGCCCCTCTTCCCACCCCCTCAGCGGGTATCCAGTGGGCTTTCTTCCCAGGGACCAGCACCACCCATCCACACTCCTCTGTGCTGCTACTAAGTTCCTATTACAACACATCTCTGACCCGGGGACGGTCCACTTTCCAGTATTATCTGCTAAGAAAGTAGATGACAGTAGCAGGCTGTCCCAGCAGAAGGTCCCAGAGCTTCCCCTGGTACCCTGCTCTTCACTCCCGTCACCCCTAACTCTAGCCAAGGTTAGGAGCCCTTCCGGAGTAGACTGCAAACACAGCATCTGCTCCGTGTCTACCCAGCTGACCTGGAATTTTCGGAGGGCAGAGTGTGGATTTAGCTATGTGAGTACTAAAGTGATATACCCGTCAAATATTGTTTCATGCACACTTACTGAAAAAATGATATCCACCCTTCAGAAATTATGAGTTTGGGAATTGTCTTAGTTAGGTTGAAATCACAGTCCACTGAAAGAAGTCAGGACAGGAACTCAAACCGGGCAGGAACCTGGAGGCAGGGGTTGACGCAGAAGCCATGGAGGGGTGCTGCTTACTGACATGCTCCACGTGGCTTGCTCAGCCTGCTTTCTTATAGAACCCAGGACTGCCAGCCTAGGGGTGACACTACCCACAATGGGCTGAGCCCTCCCCCATCAATCACTAATTAAGAAAATGCCCCACAGGTTGCCTACAGCCTGATCTTATGGAGGCGTTTTCTTAATTGAGGTTCCCTCCTCTCAGATGACTCTAGCCTGTGTCAAGTTAACATAAAACTACCCAGCACAGAAATGGTGGGAATAAATATTCTTAACAGTGCTATCTGCACCCCTACCCCCCACGCAACATATGTTTTTTCTTTCCTTTCCCTTTACAGGTCTCTCTGTGGAGCCCTGGCTGGCTTCAACTGCACAATCCTGGTTCTGCCTCCAGAGTGTTGTGTTTTCAGGCATGGGCTAACCATATCAGGCTGGAATTTGAGATCTTTTCTTTCTGGTGCCTACAAGTGTTCTCTACTGTGGAAAATGGGGAACTCAGTGGTCAGTGTGAAGCTCCTGTTGTTCCCTCTGCTGTCTGGAAGCTGGAAGAACGATGTCTACATCAGTGTGCACTCGCCTAGAGCTTCCGTCAAGTCCTTCTGGCCTAGGCTTCCTGACATTTTTTAATGTGACTAGATTCTACTCCTTAACCAGGGTCAATATATTTGAGTTAGGATTCGTTCCCGTTCCCCAGAAAACAAACACACACAGAACAACCAAACCAGAACTGTCAAAGTGGGACTTCTCATTGTGTCTGACTTAAATCTAAGCAAATGCTCTCCGTAGAAAAGTATAATAAAATGGAAAACGGAACAAAGGTCTAGGACAGGAAAAGGCCATGGAGTGCTTGTCCTTGGCTTTTCCCTTACCGCAGGCTGTTGGTCTGTCTCTTAGTTTGCTTTCTACTGGTGTGGTAAAACACCAGGGCTTATCGACTTACACGTCTATCACAGTCCACCGCTGAGGCATCAGGGAAGGAGCTTGGAGGCAGGAAATGACGCAGAAGCCACGAAGGAATGTGGCTTACTGGTTGGTTCAGCCTGTGTCTTTCTGGGTCGTGAGCCTCGCCCTTCTGGGCTCAGCCATCTCTCCAGCCCTCAGCCTGCTTTCTTATACAATGCAGGTGCCCTAGGATGGCACCACCCTCACGGAGCTAGGCCCCGCCCAGCTCAATCGTTAATCAAGAAAATGCCCTACAGACTTGCCTACAGGTTCCCTCTTCCCAGGTGACTCTAGCTTGTGTTGGGATGACCAGAAACCAACCCTGACAATAACATACATCAAGGACACAGTGATAACTTTTGAAATAGCTAATTTTTCAGTGTTCTACTTCAAGCAGTTAAGAGGCAGAATCCTCCCTTATTGTCTTAAGTTTCTAGCACCAAGTCATTGAGAAGACCCCATGTATGTGCTGAATCATGAATTTCCCTTTCCTGTGTAGTGAAGGACCTAAGGGAGAGATAACCTGGCATCACTTCTCCCTCTGCTCCCTGGTTCTTCTGTAAATTCCAAGTGTTTGGATCCCAGAAGGGACTACTTAAGACAGATCTAATTTTCACTTTACCCCACCCCCACACACCAAGTCATGAGAAACAGCAATCCAACACTTATCTCCCTACCCCAGCTTTCTTGCCTATTCAGAAGCTCCTGGAGAACAGCATCTTCGTGGTTTCTTCCTTTAGTTCCCCATGTTGGAAATAATACAAGTGCCTATCAAGTGGTAAATGGGTTGTCCAATTCAATATTCATGAAGAGGAAAGCAGTAATACATGTGAAAACATTACGCTGGATACAGAACACCGCATACCCATGATTTCCATTAATACATAATGCCCACAAAAGTCAAATGATACAGGTTAAGGAGCTCAGGGTCAACACGGCTGGGCAGCAGAATAGGGGTCAACTGCAAATGGACAGCAGGAACTTTCGGGAAGAACACAGGAATGATTTCCAACTGCATTTAGTGATGGTTGAATGAGTTTTGGTACATAAGCTACTGCTTTTCTTGTTAGTCTGAGGCAAGTTCTCATGGAGACCCACGATACCCTGGAAATCACTACATAGCTGAGGCTGACCTTGAATTCTTGATTATCCTGCCTCTCTCTCCCTAATGCTGGGACAACAAGCATGCAGTATCATATCCAGCCTGGCATGTAAATTATATTTCAACAAAGTTTCTGGGGAAAAAAGGCTTACCAATGAAATATGTCCATCTTACCTGTACTGGCTGACACTTCTGGTTCTCTCATTCCATCACAACTTTGGAGGGATTTATCAAACTAATAAGAAATGTATTTACAGGACTTTTCAAGACTATTCCACTAACTTAGCACTCTTCTAGGCCCCCATCTGAAGGTGAAAATCCATTGGGATCTACTAAACTCCAGTTTGACCCACAGTAGAAAGGAGACTGGACGTTTATAAACAGCCCAAAGCCCATACCTTGTGAGTTTGGGCGGAGAGAGATTTGGAATCCTGTTCTTCCACTGAAGAGGACAAAGTGGCTTTCCATGCTCCCAGTTCCTCGGACAGCAGGTCTGTCTCGAGGATTTTGGCTGTGGACAAGGCCCTTTATCAGCCATACCCCCTTACACACTTCAGGCCCTGGACCGATTCTCCCTGCTCCTTTTGGAGAACACTGTGCCACTGTCACAGAATGTGCCTGTCACTGATCTTCACTAAGTGACCCCGGATGTGCTACTGATGATCCCACAAAGCACACCGCATCTGTTCATGAAGACATCAGGTTGTCAGGATGGCTACTGGTTTAGGGCAAATGGTCTAGACCTGATTTTCTTTGCGGCAACTTCATAGGCTCCCAAATCCATAGGCCCTTTCTCCACGAAGGTTCAAAAAGGGAAGGAGATCCTCAAAGGAGCTCATGTGGAACCCCGTCTCCCATGATCCTGGGGTTTCCACCTGTCTCCACTGTGTTCACCACCACCACCACCCCCATCCACCTGAGCAGGGCAGAGACCTCTCAGTCCCAGCGTGCTGTTTCCAGGACGCACTGTACTACGTGGATTGCTGGAGGCATCCCAGGTTTGCTCCAGTGAAGACGGAGTCAGCTGTCTACCCCTCAAGAGGCACTTAATCCCACCCAAGCACCCACAGCCAAAGCAGCAGCCGGTCTTCAGCTCAGCCCTGCCAGCTCGACCTTGCCCACTGGATACGGGCAGCAGGGAGGCACAGGCATGATTACTAACCGGCCACTCCTCGATGGACACAAATCAGGGCCCCTTCGAGCTGTCTCACCAGCCAGGGACATGGAAGCTCACCTTGGAAGTATATAAAATCAAGCCTGGCGGTGGTGGCACATGCCTTTAATCCCAGCACTCAGGAGGCAGAGGCGAGGCCAGCCTGGTCTACAGAGCGAGAGCCATGACAGGTTCCAAAGCTACACAGAGAAACTCTGTCTCGAAAAAACAAAAGCAAAAACAAAAACAAACAAACAAACAAAAAGTATATAAAATCACACTCTGAGTCGAGGGATGGGGCAGGCAGTTCATCCTTTAGAAACCCAATACTTACAAAATACTTCTCCAGTGAGAAAAAGGCACAGCAAAGTCAAAATACCATCGATTTTTTATTATTTTTTTTCTATCCCAGTTTCAGTAAAAAGATTCAGAGAACTGATTGACACACATCATAAACTTTCACCCATGTACAGTGTATATACAGTGTTGCTACCGTTGAACGAGGTCGTACCTTTGTTCAAAGCAAAGTGCGAACGAGGAGAGAAGAATCACCGAAAGGAGATGCTCTTCCATCTCAGACCGTGACCGGATGTGGGCCACCACGAGGACAGGAGACATCAACAGCCCGCAGGTTAAGAAGCCAGACAGTGGGTACCAAACAGCAGATTTCCAATGCGGGCATCACTGTGCATGCCCAGTTCTCATTTGTCCACCTCATCACTACATTAGCTGAAGCCTCTTCTGGTGCAGACAGAATGCCGATCAGAGTCTGGCTCTTCTGGTGATTGTCGGCTAAGATAGAGTCCATTTTAATATACATGCTATAAAAGTATGCTAGAAACGTTCATCTTCAGAGCTTTGTTAAAAATCAAAAACTTGTTTTTTATATGGCATGATGTACACCCAAACCTAAAAGTCTATTTGAGAAAAGCTTTTACAGAAACCCCAATAGTCCTAGTTTCCTCCTTTGTTTAGGAGAATATTGGTTTTTAATAGGTGTGAATATGTAATGCTCTCATAATTCTGGCCTGCCACACCTCACCAATCCCGTGGAAACATGGTGGGTTAGGAGACTCCACATCCCCCTTAAGCAGCTCTGAGTTGTGCGCACGGCCATGTTTTCGGTGCGTGTTCCTATCACACGGTTTTCGCCGGTTCTTGGGTGCCTGCGACTCTTTGTGGTCAACCTCTGGAGAAGGGAGTGGGACTAACAAAAGCAGGGGATGCTGGACTTAACTCATATGTGGCCCGACTCAACAGTGGCATCCTCTGTGGTAGTGCTTTCATGAGGCAGGGCAGCCCCGGGTCACAAGTCACCTGGTAGAGACCAGACCCAACAATGACCACATTCTCGGATTGGGGGTCACTGTCTGCTGTGCTCACCGCACACCGGGTGTGAGTGTAGTACTCATGATGGCTGGAGGCTTATCCTCAGAACCCAGGCATGTCTACAGTAGGAAGGAAATGCTGATAACTGAAATTCATTTCAAATTTCAACAAAATATTTACTCTTTTCATTACCAAAATAGCCTTTACAGTGTCTCTATTTCCCCCTCTGAACACTGAAGACAGAACTGGATGGTTTCTGAGTGTGACCAACCACGTTTGATGTGCTGAGTATGGCTGTGGAGTACAGGCAGCAACAGGAGCCTATGTCCAGGGCCAAGAGGAGGCTTCCTCGAGTCGGCCACAAGGTCCGGCCACCTCGGGAAGGCACGGCATTTGTGTGCTCTTCTTCTCACCGGCTATTATTTCTGCCTGATTTTTACTCTTGGATTTGATGACAGGATGGGAAGAGCAATCACCACCAGGGAGTCGGCAGGGCTGGGTCTTCCTTCCAGGTGAGGTGTACAGAGAGCTGGAGGCAGGCTCTGGACTGCCAGGAGGTGCCTCACCACAGGCAGCCTGCCAGTGCTCCGCCCCCGCCCCCCTTCGTGGGACTCAGTGAAATCAGTTTCCAGGGAACTAAGAAAAGCAGAAGCGACCACCAAGCCATGGGGTGACTCTTTCTGCACTGAGGACCCACTTCTGTGTCTCTTGGGAAGTTGGTTATGTTTTTAAAAAAGTTTCATCAGAAGTAGATTCAGACACCTGCTTTTAAACGAATCAGTAATGGCACAGGTTTCAGCCTCTAGCCTCGGAATCTTGAAACTACTTAAAATCAAGATGTTTTCACTCAGCAGACTATTACTTCTCAGACAGGCAGTCCAGCCGGTACGGAGCCCAGGATTGGAGTCCTGCCTGCTGTGTATGAGACGCTGGGTTCCATCCCCAGTACCATGAACAAACAAACAAAAAGGAAAAAAGAAAACAGGAAAAAGTGGACAATCATTCTTTTTCTCTCTTTTTTAATCTAACTCAGGCCTTCAGAAATACTTGAGTCTATAAGGGGAGGAAGCCCTGGAGACCTGGCTCCCCTTGTGCCTGCAGCAAGCATCTGGCTACAGAGAGGCAGTTCCCAGTGCAAAGGTCAATGTTTGTGCAAAAGATCACACTGCCAGGCACAACCCTAAGAGGGCCTCAATTTATAGTGTTTGACTCTTTAAAACACAAGTGTCCTAAATTATGGAACCCGGCAAGTGAGGGCAGAGAAGTTAACATTGGAAAATACATCTGAGAAAAGTATAGTAGCTTTCAAGGGCGGACGACTGCTATGCACTCATCACTTAGATCGCGTGTTTGTTAAATATTCACAGTAATTTCAGAGAAAGAAACTATCGAGATTTAGCCCCACGCCGGCTCAGTGCAAGACTTCAGAACTGTTCGGCCAGCTCCTCCTTGGCAGTCCATCCTCTCAGGGCAGCTACACCTTCAAGGTGGGCTGCAGGATTCCTTTCTCAGTGAGATGAGTCTTCAGGGTTCTGTAGATGTTTAACTGCTGCTCTGGTTGAAGCACCAGCAGCTGCTGGAGGACCTTGCTGGGATTCGGACCCCTGAGGATGAAGCAGAGAAGACACGGTCACACTGTTTGCATGGGGGGCTGAGTGAGCATGTGCTCCCGAGAAGCCGTTCTTAAGTGCTAAGCAACCATGTTTACAGAACTGACAAGACCCCAGGTGAGTGCCCAGCGCTCCTGTGGAGGGGAGAGCAAAGGGCCAGAATGACTGTGCCTTGAGGTGTGAGGTGCAACGTAGAGTAGGCATGGAGGGAACAGCAGGCACAGGACAGAGACCTAAGTTCTACAGACATTCTCTCAAGGACAACTTGATAAGAACAAACCCGCAGGCCAGGAGACACAGGACAAACAGAAAGGAGCGCACACAAAGAAATTTAAAATTCTTAGCCTCAAAGAGACTTCTAGACCATGGAAGGTGCTTCATTGAGGAAATACCCTCAGGGAACTATGACCACTCAGGTGAGAGACAAAACACTAAAGTCCTGCTCCAAAGCCCCTACCCAGAATGTACCATGGTGTCAGTGTCTTCTTCCAAGTCCCAGGGAAATGCCAAGAAGCAAAGAGCAGGAAGACCCCCCTCTGCTCTTTGAACGGAGGCCCAAGGACAGCCCTGGCCTCTTGCTCTTCTGCCACAGCAGTCCATGCAGGAAGAAGGGACCTGGGGAACAGCTACGTGACCTCTGGGCCATGACCCAGCCCACCACCCCTCTCTTCTTGGGCTCACTCTTCCAGGACCCCTGCCCCAGCCTTTCAGTGTGCAACTCAGCTGGGGTACAAAGAGCTCAGAGGAACTCCAGGCAGGGGTCCCTCCTTCACACCCTGGCTTCTGGTAACACTGCTGCAGTCATGGGAATGCAACTGCCCACAGCCTGGCCTAGAGAGCTCACATTGATACATTCTATATGCACTTTTGTAAAACAACGGTCTGTGAAGTGAGACAGACATAGTAGCTTACACCTGTAAGCTCAGTACTGCACATGCTGAGGCAGAAGAATTGCCATGAGTTGGAAGCCAGGCTGTACTATATAGTGAGTTCCAGGTCAGTCTGGTCTACAGAGTAAGACACTGTCTCAAAAAAACAAAAACAAAGCAAACCTCCCCAAACCTATCACCTTAAAATATCTGTGTATAATTATTGTCATTAAAGCTTCCTCAATGCATTTGCAGAGTGGTGCATGTGTGAACAATAGTGAGATTTAATTGGAAAATCCCATGAGCAAAATAGGTAGGGTGGCACAGAAGTCTGAGACACATGTTAAAAAAAGGTAAGTAAATGATTTATAATAGAGATTTTAAAACAGAATTGTAAGGAATGGAAATTCCAGCGACAAAGAAATGTCTTCTATAGAATTATCACAATGGGGATGGACAGAGGCACAATTTACTCTGAAAAATCTTTGACTTCAACAACAGCTACACAAGAGCAAGCACAGAGCAGCCACCCCATGGGTCACCTTCATATCTCAAGGCAAACTGGCAGAACCTGTGGCCATGTGCCCCTCACAGGCAAAGTCCACTCAAATTACAGCCCGGCTTGTCTTGTTATATTCCATGGCATAAGCTGGAGCAGCCGCCCACAGAGAAAGGAGTCACCCCAGCAAGTTCGGCTAAATGGAAAGTGATGTCAGCAGGCGTTTCCCGGGAGCTGGATCCAGGACACCGCTGCCTTCCAAATAGGCCAAGGATCTGCTTTCAGAAGGCAGAGACACAGCTCAGCATGACTTGGCCGCTGAGAGAACACAAGATAAATTCCTTTCTAAACAAAGAGTGTGAATTAATGCCTTAAAAACCTGCCATCTTCGGAAAAATGAAGCTTTTGCTGTTGTTTTTGTTTTTGTTTTTTTAGGGACTTAGTCATAAATTACTAATGCCAAACTCCATCTACAAGGAAATGCCATATAAAAAGACAGAGACCACTGACGGAGTCACAAAGAAAGAAAACAAGCAGAAAAGAAAGCCACTGTTGAAAATGACCACAAGGGGATGAAAAAGCTAGAGAACCAGCGTGCTAGCACTACCCCAACAGAAGCTGCTGGAGCATCCTAACATGCATGGGCGCAGGCAGCGAGGCAAGCGGGAAAAGATGGCAGTACAGCGACCAAATGAGGAATTCCACAGAGAAACAATGCTGTGTCACTGCATTTCAATACGACCTCGAAAGAGATGATTTCCAACTTACACATTTCTACCAAAGCAGAGAAAGGAATGAGCTGCGACCATGGCAGGAGAGCCAGCCCACAGCGCTCTGTTAAGGTGGAGCAAGCGCTCCCAACGCAAGCGACCACACTCAGCACACAGCAGAACTACACCTGACACAGCATCACATCTAAAAACTGCAAGGTGGGCCTCTGTTTCTGTGCGGACGCAACATGTACCAGAAAAGATGATGTGCTGAGCCACGAAGCAAGGTTCAAAAATTAGGTTCTTTTAACCACATTGAGACTAGGGCAGATATCAATAAAGAAAGAAGAACAAAGTCTTGCTTTGTTTGGAAATCAATCAATATACTTCTAAATAACCTGAGTGTCAAAGGAGAAGGTGACACAGGAAACTGAAGAATACTTGCCACTGACTGACAAAAATGAACACACTAGACCACACAGGACAAGAATCAAGTGTGTCAAAGAGATAAGAAGGTGAGAAATCAACCACCTAGGCTTCATCTTAAAAAGCTAGGAAAAGAACAAATTAAACTTTAAAAATACAAAGAAATGAAAAAATGAGTATAAATCAATGAAGGAGAAAATAAATATACCACACAGAAAACTAATAACCCCTTGGTTCTTTGAAAAGGTGAAGGAAGTTGGTAAATTTTAAGACTGTAACCTCCCTCCCCAAAAAGACTAATACAAAAATTCATACACTGGTATGGATACATAGTTTTAAGTGTACATTTATCAATTTCTAAATGCAAGTTTCCCTCTCAATAACTCTGATGAAAACTTATTTTCCGTGGCCTTCTGGGCCCCCGTGGAGGCCATAGAGATCATCAAATCACTATGTTACTTCTGTTGGCTTTCCTGTGCTGAACTGCCACTGGAGGGCAGATCTGAAAGTCTTATCTACTAACAAGACCAACCGTTTACTAAACAGCCACCTCCTCCGCCCCCACACAGCCAGCGCTAACCTCCCTGCCAGCTCAGACCATCACTACTTCTCCGATCTCGTAGCGAGCAGCTCTGAGGACAGGGGTCCGCTTTGCTATGTTCTATGCTGTGGTCATACCTAGAGCACTCTGTGACATGTCACAGACACTCATGCAAGAACTGGGCTGAATGAACTGTCCTTCCTCTTCCTTACCAGCATTCAGTGAAATACCCACAGTAAAGAAATGCAGTCTGCTTGTACTTTGAACCTAGCATGAGTCACATTAACTGGGTCTTTTTTATTGAGTCTTTTAATTGAGTCTGCTAACAATCATGGTGTATACTACCTTTAAGTTGCTCAAATGTATTAAAAACAAGGAAGATTGGACCCTACTACTTAGAGCTACAATTCCATTTAACTTGACATTATAAACTACCATTGACAGAAGCAGTGAGTTTCAACTGATGGGAATTTAAAAGAGTCACACAATGGACAGTTCTGGTTTTGTTTTTAAGCGGACGGTACCTTATGAAGCTTGTGATGTACACATGCACGAACGTGGCCATCAGATACTGACAATCAAACCTGTCCATTATCCCGCCATGTCCAGGAATGGTGTTTGCAAAATCCTGCAGAAACAGACAATGTGCAAAGGTATCACTTGTACCAAATTCTGACCTGTGAATGTCTTTTCAGTTTTACAGACTTTACAAGGAAAACAACTTCACTATTAATTTTTTTCTAACAAATACAAATAAATTAGAAAATACCAACAGATTAAAATGGTATTTTTCAACTCTCTGCTCACTGTTTAATGATTTCTGAGTCGGCCCACAGCACTGAAATAACACTAAATATTAATTAAGTCTAGCACTTTTTCTCATTAATGTAATTTTTCTAAATTAAAAAGTCTACCAACTACCCTCATCTAATTTTGTAACTGCCTATGTCCCACATGGCCAGAAGCCGTGTGGGCGCTGCCTCGGTGGCTCACAGATGCACAAGCATTTCTATCTCATGTTTACCCAAACAGCTCTTGTTCTGGAACACACACTCCAGTGATAAAGAGACATCAGTAAGCACTGGGGTAACCAGAAGAACAGAGCAGCTGCTCACTGAGAACATGTCTGTCCATCAGCAGCCTGAGGTGAGGCTAGGTGGTGAGGTTTCCGCAGCTGCACTCCCTGCCTGGACCCTGGAGAGCACAAGTCACTCACACAAGTAACTCGTGGCTCTTCTAGCATACCAGGGCACCTAACACACAACAGCAACTGCACCTTCAGCTGTGAAAGAGGAAAAAGCCTCTCTCTTCAATGAGGAACCTTAGAGACCATTGAAAACAAAAACAAAACAAAATGCATTCTAAATACCTATGACGGATTTTTGCCAACCCGTTTCCTCCCTTTCTGCTCACTGAGGCATGAGGGAGCCCCAGAGGCCTGATCTCACTGCAAGGCAGTTACCCCCCATGAAGCCTCAGGTGTCACTGGGACTAGACTGTTTCCCACCCTCCCCCCATGGGGAGGGAGCATCTTGAGGCCAGGGGCCTTGTAGGCTTTGTGTATTATCTCTCCTCCCCGCCCCCCCCAGCACCCTTTGCAGGGCAGAGGCTCCCTGAGTTCATTCACTTCCCTGACCATCCTAAGGTCTAAAGTGGTCGGGTTTCCAAACACTGTGCTCTCTGCCCTTCTCTAACACAGCCGCTCTGTCCTTGCTCCCCTTCGACAAACAACTCCCTCCTTGTCCTCACTTCAATCTCCTCCTCAGACTTCCCAGTAAGACTTACTCTCTTTTTAGATCTCAGCTCCAATTCCACCTCCTCAGAGCACCGTTCCTGACCAACCCATCTTCAATAGCCATGCTAGCCCTTAATGAGCCAGTTCTACCTTAACCTGGCAAGGGAGGAAGGCTGTGATGATACCGCTTTAGGATGTCTGATGATGCTCTACTAAAGTGTAGGGACAGCTTTCAGCGAACCATCTCCCACGGGCTTCGTGTGGCCAGTTGTGGACCACATCCCAGTGACAAAATGGGTCCTAGGGAGGTGCACTATCAGTGTAGCAGAGAACGTAAAACACACCTTGATTTTGAAAGCTCTTTTGAATCCACTGGCGAAGAAGCCTCCAAATGGGCCAATCAGTGAGGCAAACGTTGAGAGAGCAATGCTATGTATCTGGAAGGGATACAAGCTCACTGTGTCCTACGGAGGAAGAAATGGAGAGGACCAGCTGCGTTAATATGGCACCCATTCATGCCATGTGACCCAGGAACCACGGCAGACACAGGAGGTCAAAACAGGCCACATTTCTGTCAATGTCTCACGCCTTAAAGACCAGGAGAGAAAAATGCCATCATCAGCAGTCTCCATGCCCTGTCCATTACCCACAGCCTCACTGTCACACCTGATAGAATTCTAGCTCATCCAGGGCTTAGGAAACAGCTGTGTGGGAGATTCACACTTTAGTTTGGGTTTGCTCTTTTGGCCATAATACTTTGTTCTTATAAGTATAGAATTTATTTTAATTTTATATTTTATAATGCTAGCTAATTTTAAATGATGAAATAGCAAAAAGTTGTCTTTGTCACCAAAACTAAGCTGAAAGCTATAGAAACATACAGAAATAAAATTCTTTTCCTTTTCTTTCTTTCTTCTTTTGTTTTTTTAAATTAATTTTCAAGACAGGGTTTCTCTGTGTAACCTTGGCTGTCCTAGAACTTGCTCTGTAGACCAAGCTGACCTCAAGTGCTGGGACTAAAGGGGTGAACCACTACTGCCCAGCTCAGAAATGAGTTTCTTAAAAACTGTCAAGGGGTAGTGGAATGCACTCTATAAGCTGACACAGAATTATCCTTGAGTTGAAGGCCAGTCTGGGCTACATGGTAAGACGCTGACTCAAACAAAACAAGACCTGTCAAAATGAACATGAACAAAATGATTGCAAAGGATTTAGTGAAATCATCTGAACAGAATTTTATATTCAAATTAGTTGAGTGTATAGCTCTTTTCCTCCTTAAGTAACTATGAACTAAAAGCAGCACATGATGAATATGGTCCAAAAAGATGTTCAGCCCACAAAGTTTTGGATCTGTTCTCAAAGAACAACATTGCTCCAAACTTTAGACTGGTACCAGCTGAAGGTTTATAGCATAGATAGTGAAAAAATGTTTGGAAACCAAACATTGAGCACTCAAAGAGATAAATTATTTGTAGGCTAATTTGTTTCTAGCAACTAGCGGCTGTGAGTCTGAAGCACACACACGCATGTGCACACAGTTCCTAATCAGCCCACTGTCTCCCACTTTGATGATGTAACAACAGACAGGAGGAGTCTACTGGAGAGCACGCCAAACGTTCTGGGGATGGCATCTCAGGTGCTTTAAATGGTGGCAACAGGGAGACTCATTTTAAGAAGATTTCTATATTAAAATGACCCCTAAAAATTAAGGGCTCTTTCAACTGATGAGTCTTAATTAAGTTTCATACTTAAATCATATCAGTAACCTGTATTTATTTATTTGTAAAAATCTTTATATTTATTTTTAAATTTTATTTATATTTTAAAATACTTTTTAAAAAACATAAAATAAATTACTATCAGTATTTAAGTCATTATACAAATAAATTCCTAGTGTACAAACATATGCTTGGAAATGTTAATACCCATTTGATGTTTAAGATGATGACAGACATACAATCCACTTCTACATCTTTTTTAAAAAAAGAGCCAGAACAGCCCTTTTGAACGAAGCTCAGTCGCACGGTAGCTCTCCAAGCACATTAGCTAGCCATCTGCTCTTACCCGTCTCAACACCGCCTTTAGGAACGGAGGGAGGGAGTAACTCTGAAGCTGGAAGAGTTCTGAGGGCTCACACTCTGTCACGAAAGAGTTGACATCGCTTCGGTATTCCACTGGACACACAAAGTACTGGTATTTGGACAACACATAGGCAGCCTGAAGAACAAAGCAGAATGCATGAGATGCTGCCCAAGTAAAAGGAAGCTGAGTGCCACAAAGGACAGAGCCAGATCCGAGTGTCTTTGCACTGGCATTCGGCTATGTAGTCACAAAGCTAGGTCAGGATGGTCCCAGGAGAAACCCTGATTGAAAGCAGTGAGCGCTCCATCCAACCTCAGAAGAGGCAGGGCTAACAGTCTTAAAGGAGCTGTACTTTTACACTTTATCTTATTACTAATCTAAGTACGTGTGTATGGTGTGTGTGCACCTGCCAGGGGACTGCTCTGTGGAGTCAGTTTTCTCTTTCTCCTTTTATGTGAACTCTGGGGATCAAACTCGGATCCCCAGGCTTTGCACAGACAGTGCCTTTACCCACAGAGCCATCTCTCCAGCCCAAGACCTTACTTTTAAAGTCACTCTTAGCAGGGCCTAAGAAGGCACGGTAAAGGGGTGAATTATAAAGATGTGGGCTGTGCAGGGGGACTTACTACATATAACGAGTTAATTTCATCAGCTGGTACACAATCTCTAAACAAACAGTGCACAACAGTGCATGTGAAAGTTACCACTGTCCCTTACCAGCCCAGGATGCCTGACTCAACTGTTCATCATTGAAGGCTTTAAAATTAGCCATCTTCAGCCATGGAAAAGGAGATCAGATAAAACATCTTCATGTACATTTGATTCTACTTCTCTTGCGGCTACTCACTCCACTGTTTTGCTCAAGGACAGCAGAAATTCAAACATGCTGCAAGGAACAGATTCCAACTGCTTCTGCATCCACAGGAGCCAGTTTCCTATCTGGTTGTACGTTACATTTTAAGGGCTCTTTACTTCTTCCAATGACAAGGCTTTCCATACAGAATCTCTAAATAATAAACTCTTACAGTATTATTTAACTTGGTATTTTATTTTGATACATAAACCTTAAGTAGAACTGGATTCTCTGTATGTATCAATGATTACTAACATTCTACCTCAAAACTTGTTTTTCCCCTCAAATTCTACTAGAATTTTCTTTGAGAATGAATTATGTTTTTGAATTGAAGAGAGGGGTACTTTCCCCATACAGGACAATGCCACACTTATTTACATATTTACTCTCCCAAAGCTTTGTGTTGTTATTATTACACTATGCCTGGGTGTGATATTGTATTATCAACTATAGTTCTCAGGGACTAGACTTAAATTTTTGAACTCCCTAACAGTAATCTTTTTATATATTTTTCTTTTATTTAGTCATGTATAGTCCCTTTATTGATACCTTTTACTGGTGGGGAATGTCTTTCTGTACGCTGTGAATATGTGTTGCTCTGATTGGTTGATAACTAAAGTTTTGGCCTATGGCAAGGCAGCTTAGAGGCAGGCAGGAAATTCAAAGAGAGAGACAAGAAGAAGGCTAGGAGAGATGCCAGTGAGCTGCCCAAGGAGCAACATGTAATGGGACGCAGGCAAAGCCACGGACCATGTGGTGACACGTAGATTAATAGTTATGAGCTAATTTAAGATATAAGAGCTAGTTAGCAAAAGGCGTGAGCCATGGCCATGCAGTTATAATTAATATAAGCCTCTGTGTGTTTACCTGGGGAGAGATTTGTTAAGTGGCAGGCCGGACACAGGAAATCGTCCCACTACATTTTACTATAGTAATTTTACTGTTATTTGTGGAGGGAGGTTGAGACAGGGTCCCGCTGTATGGCTCTGGCTGTCCTGGAACTCACTCTGTAGACCAGGCTGGCTTTGAACTCACAGAGGTCTGCCTGCCTCTGCCTCCCCAGATACCTTTAACTAGATACCTTTAGTTAAACCCCAGCTCTAGGGCTAGGGATGTGCTCAGTGGCAGAGTGTTTGCTCAGCATGCTCATGGTCCTGGGTTTAATTCCAAGCACCAAAACCAAATAAAACAACACTGCCCCAAACCCTCAACCGTGAGCTGATATTTTAACCAGGCTGGGCTCATGGCAGGACCTACTCATTGAGCCAGTGGTCACCATGTGTCAGGAGGCAGACCTGAACACCATCTGCACCCTGCTAGTACTCAGAGGACATCTGTCCCAGCATCTGTACCCTCCTAACAAGCAGAGCAGCTTTCAGAAAGGACCAAAACAAAGGGCACCATGTGGGCCTACAACTTGGAGGCACTCTGGAACCACCTGACAAAGTCCAGCAGTCTGGATCCCTCTGGGACACAGAGTTTAAGCTTCCACGTGACCTGCTCTGTAGCCAGAGTGACAGGTACTGGTGTTCAAAGTTGGCTATGCTTAGTAGGTTGGGGTTTTTTGTTTGTTGGTTTGAAGCATTTCATACACAAGTACATCACTTCCAGGCCTCCTGCTCCCTTCTCCAACTCCTCCTGTGTCCCCCTGATCACTTCTCAAATTCATAGCCTCATCTTCTTCAATTATACTGTTTTACACACTCACCTACACACACACACGTAAATGCAACCTGCTCATATGTATACATGTTTAGGGCTGATCATTTGGGATTGGATGACCTGTAAGGGTCTCTCTCTCAGGAAGACTGACGCTCCCTCTTTTGGCAGCCATCAGTGGCCTACCCCTCCTCATCTAGGTGAGGCCTTGCGAGATTTCTCCTGTGTGTGTTGTCACTGTGCAGGGCTTGTTTAGATGATCATTGCTAAGATTTCACGGGTGCAGCTCCTGGCAAATATGGAAGACACTATCCTGCAGCAGACATCCTGGTTCTCTCCTTCTTCGGCGATGTTCCAAGAGTCTTAGGTGTAGAAGTGAAACTGTAGATGTATTGGTGGGGACGAGCAGCCTGTCTTATATCTATAGGTAAGTGTGGCTCTCACTTCTCATCAAACAAAGTTCATTTTGCAGCAGACGGAGACCACCACAGAGTCAACACTAATCAAAACGCAGAGAATGACTGACTATGTATGGGTGCCTATGTAGTAAGTTTCAAGAAAAATATGACTAGCATTTTAGAAAAGGCTAAAACCTAACATGCATTTTCAGATTATAAATAAAAGTAAAATCCCAGTAAAACTCACAATGAATCCAAATATGACTGTGGAGAAGAAACCACCAATGAATCCTTCCCAGGTCTTCTTAGGAGATAGCTAAAGAGGATAAGATGGAGGGTTGGTAAATGTACAAAACCAGGGAGCAGAAGATCCCCATTGAGTTCCCCCAATACCCTGTACATCTCTTTCCTTTCCTCTTACTAGAATGGGCTGAAACTCCAGTTGTTCATGGCATGGTCATGACTGACCTGAGCAAATGTCTTGAGCAGCACCTAATGCAGGGCAGCCCCTCAAACATGTGTGATAGACTGTCAATATCTATTCATCTCTGCTCAGCAGCCTCAAGTTCTTTCCCTTTTTTCCTTTCAAAGGGCTATAAATTCAATGTTGAAACAATTTTCTCATGACTCGCACGCTTCTCTTGTCACCCTACACAGACATCGCCAGTGCTGACCGGCTACTGACCAGAGAAAAGAAGGAACACAACAAGGCACGGACGGACAGACACTCAACACTCCAGGCTGTCTCTTCTTTGTCAGGGAGACTAGGGAGATAGGGCCCCACTACGGAGCCCATTCTGGTCTAGAATTCGCAACCCTCCTGCCTCAGCCTCGTCTTGTAATCAAGTCTGAGATTACAAATTTGTACTAGCCTGTTCAGCTCAGTCCTAATTTACAAGACATATGAGATTTCCTTCTGAAATGAAATATTCAACAGCCTTAAATTACGCACCCACCCCCATAATCTATGTCTACCTTTAGACAGAAAGGAACATATTGTGCTTCTGAGAATAGACACTGGGTATGTTTCACAGTCTGGCTATTATTTCCCAGTCAATGAGACATTCAGGGGGAAAAATATGGAAGTAAGTCTGGAACTTGGTAGTATAAGGGAAAGGAGAGAAAACTCCGGAGCTGTGGTCCTAACTGCACCAAAGCTGTCATGGAAGGTAAGCATTAGAATGTATATGATGAGTGGGCTGGTAGGGACAGCACTAACTCTCAGGGGGAAAAAATGGGTCACAGCCCCAGCTACCTGAGCTCCTTGTAGACTTCTTATCTTGAAGTTGAGAAACCTCAAAGTTAAACTAGTTGGCAGCAATGGTTTCTTAAGAAATCCGGTGACATTTTTACCACAAAGAAGGAACCACTGCACCTTTTCCTGGGATAATCCCGTGTCTGTATTAGTGCCATTAAGTGGACTCAAATTCAAAGTGTCTGCTGATTACTTAAGAGAGCTTCAAGCTGACTCATACCAGATCACAAGTTAATTGCCCAACCTCCTGGGCGTATCATACAAATAATCTTTGGTGAAATCACTTGAAAGGTATTGAAAACCAGTCCCTAGGATTCCTGCACAGGTCTTAGTCTCTCAAGGCACGTTGGTTTAGAGCTCAGCCCATGCAAGCATCATGAATACACTGTCTTGCTCTCTGCTGCAGCAGCTTCAGAGACGTTTCAGAGATCCACATTTGCACACCAGTAGCCCTGCAGTTGGGCCTGGTGCTGTGTGACCAACCACTAGAGGAGAGTTGATGGCAGTACCCTGTGGGGCAGGCTACCCGCACACTCCCCAGGAGCACTTCACTTCCTCACACCGCTCTCAACAGCACGAGGCTAATCCATACTCCACCAGTTCCTCCATATAATTGCTTTCATCCCAGCCAAAGAACATATTTATGAGACTCCTTCCTATTAAACGTTCTGCTCAGTGTGGAAACTGACTCCAACATCAAGTCCCAACATAAAAAGCTCTTAAAAAAAACGAAACCAGTCCTAAGAAAAGGGAAAAAGGAAAAGGTTGGATTTTTTCATGAAGAAATGGATTCTTTCTTACCCAAAATGAAATCTGAATAATTTAATCCATGTCCTTGCCTCCACCAGCCATACACAGAAGCAAATCAAAGGCAAACAAGGGGGCTGTTCAAATGCGCTTTCCTCCCTTGTCTCAACTTCCTACCGCTGGCTGCAGACCCCCAGTCTCTTATTTATAATGAACTTGGGAGTCTTTGGATGACGGTACACAGAGACCGTGCACCTTGCTCTTTTAGGAACTTTGGGGAAGGACGGGATAGCGAGCCGTGGGAATGTTGGGAACAGGTTAAAGAACTGAGCAACTGTCGGGGAGGAGAAACCAGCAGAAAGACGAGTTCTCACAATCGAAAGAAAATGGAGTCCGACCCCATGGAGGACCCAACTGAACACCTGACAGGAAACTGAGAGTGAACTCCTCAGACAGTAGCTCACTGCCCTGCACTGTGGCAAGCTGCTGCATGTGGGAACATCAAGGTGCCCTAGAAATCAAAAGTGTGCAAGAGCAGCAAACGCTTGAAATGTTCTGTGGCCTGGCTTGAAGCCTATGGGAAGGGCTTCCTTCTAACATTTCCCATTACCTTAATTAAAGGAGTTCTTCCAAAAAAAAATCCGAAGAGGTAAGCAGTGATGTCATTGCAGATGACACTTGATATTGGAACAAGGAACCTTTAAAACATTAGCAGAGAAAAGTCTGTGTGATGAAACAATTTACAGCTCAGAATGAACCCACATGACAACCCTTTAGGTCCCACAGTGGACAGCGCAGAGCACAGCCCAGGAGAAGCAGAAAGTATTACACAAGCTCGCTCAGTTAGCCAGGAGATGTAACAAAACCCACCACTAAACTAAGACACTTAGAGAACCCTGCTAAGGAAACTATGAAATAACCAAGTGCTCCAATTACAAACATTTAAAATGTAATTTTATAAGGAACAACTTTCAAGAAATCATCATTTCTTTTAAGAAGAGCAGCCTTGGGAAATGCAAAACAAGTCACTTGTGCAGCCAGAGACTAAAGTGACAAGCTTATACACGAAGCTCTTAATGCAAATTCTCTTTCAGGAAAATTATTAATTTCAGTTCTATCTTAGCCCATGACTGTGTCAAACTCTGATAACTTTGCAGAACCTATTTATATAAGCAGCATTCCTCCCTCAATGTAAAGGTTTTATATGGCATCCATTCCTAAACTAGATTGTTCACACAAACACATGCACAGTTTGGTAAGCTGTCAGGAGGGCAAAACTTATGCTGGCAAAACTCCAGTTAGCTGTAGAAGATTCCACTTGCTGACTTCACAATAGATGTGAAGGGAGAAGCCTCATTTTCATCATCTATACACCTGGATAGAGAACTTCATTAAGTCTTTCTCCATTCCAGATCATCTCTAGTTATTAATCTGGATAACTTTTAATCAATAAAAATGCTGTCTGCAGTGCTGTGGAGCACACAGCTCTGCACATACACAGTCTAGAAGCTTGCTTGTTCCCAGACGCGAAGCAGGACCCACCCAACTGTCACCCAGAGAAAAGGCATTTATCCAACCCACTTATTGAAAGCCACATACTTTCAAACTCCATGTAAATAACATCTAACCTTTGTTTCTTAAAAAGTAATGCTGGGGCTTATTAGCATCTAAAAATGGAAGTGGGTCTTGAGGAAGACTTTCTGCATTTTATTTGGAACTAAAAGAAAGGTTTCCAGTCATTAATAAAGGATTTTGTGCTCAGTTGTCAAACAGTAAGTAAAACTCGGTAATTTTAATGGGATACAGCAAGTGGTTCCCGTGTTGTAGCGGAACTGCAAAGCTCCTGCCGTGCTGGGGGTTTAAAGGGCAAGACAGAACAACAGAACGCAGCGTAACAACATAATCCCTTACCATATCATGCCTTCAAACAGATTTTGGATGACAAGATGTGACTGAGTAACGGTTATCAGTAAAGTGACATGGGTCCATGCGAACTGTTAATAGCCCAACAACACAAAAATTAGCAAACACAGCTAATTAGACAGCCAATTAGCAAGAGCAATTTTGAAACACAAATTTTCTGTCATGACTTCTGATCAAAATTTGTAAGATAAGGTCATACAAACAAAACAAGTGCAGTTAGTAAATTACACTGTCTACTAAAAGCCTGAAATAACGAAAACGTTTAGCAAAGTGATTGTCATTTGTACATAAAGGGAATGCTAATACCAGTGAGACGCGCTATTACGTTTTTAGAAACACGGAGAAATAAAGCACGACCCTGGATGACTCCATTTAAATTGGTGAGGAGCTGACAGTGTTGCTGTGGTGTGTGGAGAACAGGGGTAGTCTCTGAAGGCTTCACAGCTCGCACGCGGAAGCTCCTTTCTTTCCTCAGTTTCCTGACAATCTTCTCCTGGAAACAGTTATTCTAACTCTGAGTGCTTAAAACTCTCAGGATTCACCTGCCTTTTCATGCTGAAAGTTGATCTTTCTGGGTCTGTTCAATGACATTATGCAATTTCAGAATTTCCAAGTCCTGTGCCGTCTGCCTCACCATCATCCCCACACCATCCCTCCCCTCCCCTCAGCCTGAGAGATGGCTGTTTTAGTGACTTTCAGCACAATTACTGTGGGCAGAATGTGAGCCAAAAGCAGCCATTCTATGTACTCATCTGATAGACTTGATTGGCAATTATGAAGTGACTTTTCAAATAATTTAGATTTTTATTTACTCTTAAACACTATTTCTCATTTCAGCACGGCATTTTATGTCGGTTGTTTTCATCTACTCTACTGGTACACATTTAAAGGAACCAAGTACTTTGTACTAGTTGCTTTAAAATACATTTTTTTCAATAGGCAACTGGCCCTATTATATTACAGAGCTGGTGCTCTACATGCAGTAAGTCCTACACCCACATTCAGGAGCCATACATACATGGATCAAAATGCACAAACTTATTTTTTCTTGCCATTGTTCCCTAAGCAATAACTATTTACATAGGATTTGATTATGTTACGTCTTGGAATTAACTAGAATGATTTGAAGAGCAGAGGAGGACACAAGTGGGCCACAGGGAAACAGAAGGTCCTCAAGCGCACATAGAGTTTGTTATTCACAAAGATTCTAGAACCAAGTTCCTGATGGGAGATCAGACTATTTCCAATCTGTCTTGATGATTTTAGATTTCATTAAGATTTTACTCTAGGATCACCTGAAATTAGAAATGTAGGAAATACTACAAATTTCTTAGCAATAATAATTGGTAGAATGTTTTCTTAAAGAAAAGCCCAAGTGGGAAGTATGATCTGATCTGAACTAAGTCTTGCTGACCCAGAGTTTGTAACCTCTCAGTACTGCACTGTCCGTTAAGACTCATCACTCGCTCTGCTTTAGGAAGATGAGAAGTTCACTGTGTAAAGTAATGGATCTCAGGAAACACAGACTACTACTCTCCACTCAACAAGATATCTTAGTGCAATGGTGACCTGTGACTGACCATAACGACCACGAAAGCACACGCTCTGCACTAGGCTGATGCCAACAGACGGTGTCCAAGGTCAACTCCAACAAAACCACACGGCACATACCTGCCAGGCTTCAACAACTATCGCAGAGATGAATTCCCACAATTAAGGGGTTCAAACAGATCACATTTTTTTTTCTTTGAAAATACTTAAAAATGTTTCAGGATCGCTTTAGGGACTGCTGTATGTCTTAAATCTCAAAACCTTTTCAATTTCAATATTTTGTAATCTAATGAACCAAAAAAAAAAAAAAATTGAAAAATTCTCCGGGCTCAGGCAAGACATTGACTAGCTAATCCGACTGCTATCTCTTCGGGTACAGGAAAAAGGGCGAGTGCAGCTCTGCAAAGCTGTGATACACACCATGTAAAACTGCAGACGGTAGTGTTTCTTCACCAAGCTCAGCACAAACATGCAGAAACCTGTGGAAAACAAAAGACATGCTGTGTGATTCCACATGGAGTGTAAGGTTCCCTGGGCACCACTCCTCCAAAAACCAGCTTCCTGCATCACGTCCAAGCACATTTTAGCCATCACTCAACACTACCTCTCCTACTTTACAGTAATCATTTTAAGTAGTTTTCTGAAGGAACGATTTTGAAATCTCTGAAGTGCCAGGTATATTCCATGGGAAAAAAATTCAATCACTATCTCCTACATGAATTAAATGAACTAGTCCCTTGCTAATATGGAAGCTGGAAAATGTCTTAAATTATCAATTTATCAAGAGCAAGCTGGTAGGTCAGTGGTACACTGTTTGCCTAGTGTGTTTGGGGGCCCTACATTGGATCTTCAGCACAGCAAATCCCACCACATAAAATGTCAATTGACTTGGGAGTACGTACAGATTGTGTTCAATGCCTATACAGCAAAACATGAATGATTATTATGGCGGCGCACACCTATTAAACACGTTATGTTCCTAACTCCCATCTAAGCTTCTCCATGTGTTCATTCGATCCTTCCAATATCTTGAGTAGCTAGCTTTCATTATCTCCACTTCACAAATGAAGAAAAAGGGTTTGTTTCTTCACTGAGGATCACAGAATTAAAAGAAATGTTTAGATGCCCCTGGCCCTCAAGGCCCACAGTTCCACGGAAACTCAAGGGGCAGGAATAACTTGAAGTACAAAGAGTAACTTGAATTTCTCAGACCAGTCGTATGAATGTGGCAAAATATAATGCTCTTAAGTAATTTCTTATTCCCAGTGTTTGAGCTGCATCATACATTAATTATGAAGAAGATGTGCTGCAGCTGCCCGTTCAGTAAACCTCCCTAATTATGTGCTAACACAACGAGACGCTTTCTCAGAACACCAGTAAACTTATAAAGACATGTTTCTAGCAGAGGTGGATACTGAAAATGCAGAAACCGAGTCTAATTTAGATAAGCCGCCACACTCTGCAGTGAGTTTAGAGAGAATCTAACGCAGACACTGAATCTGTGTGTCAACTGACCTACACCACCTGAGATAAACACTGGATTTTGCATCTCTGGACTCAGTTTACCAGGCAGTACAACCAAGGATGCATCTCTTCTCAAGGCAGAGACCCAAAGAGCAGCTGCCTCTGTGTATTTGACAACTGACTTTTAAATATCCAATGTGAAGGATTATGGCAAAGTAAAGGCAGTGGGAAACTGACCACAGTTCCTACCTCCCATTTGTCAGTACAGAGTAATCGGGCTTCCTGGACTGCAGGACCGTGGGAAACACTCAAGAGCTCTAACAACATTGGGAGGGAGGCAGATAGGGAGTGAGCGCTAGAAGAAAAGAACTAAGAACACGGAGTCCGTCTGCGCTGCGGCAGCTGCCAAGCGTGGAAAAGTCTCGCTTTACAGTTACTGCCTTTAAGCTTTCCTTCTGGGATGACCAGATTCTGCTTTATTTCTTTATTGAGAATCTCATATGTGAACGCTGTAGTTATCACTTTCCCTCTCTCTAACTTCTCTTACGACCCCCAACTCCTCAAATTCGTGGATGTCCACATGGAGACGACTGAAATGGGAGCCTTTCTATCACACTGTACAAAATCAACTCCAAATGCATCAAAGACCTAAATGTGGAACCTGAAATGCTGAAACCACCTAAGGAAACACAGCCAGTACCCCACAGGGTATCGGTGAAGCAGAGCACTCTCTGAAAGGGGTTCCGTTTGCCTAGGTGCTAAGGCCAAGAATGGACAAATGGGATCTCACAAAACTAAAAATTCCATATAGCAAAGAAAAGAATCAGTCAAGTCCAGAGAATGCCACAGAGCAGACAATCTGTGACAACTACTCACCCAATAAAGGATTAAAACCCAGAATATACAAAAACTCACAAAACAGTCAAGAAAATAAATGACCCAATTAAAAATCGAGCCAGGGATCTAAACAGAGAGTTCTCAAAAGAAATAAAAATGACTAAGAAATATCTCGAAATGTGTTCAAGATCCTTAGCAATGAGGAAAAAGGAAATCAAAACATTTTGAGATTTCATCTTACCCCAGTAGAATGACTAAGATCAAGAAAACAGAGCCATGTGGTGGTGGCGCACACCTTTAATCCCAGCACTTGGGATGCAGAGGCAGGTGGATCTCTGTGAGTTCAAGGCCAGCCTAGTCTACAGAGAGAGTTCCAGGATAGGCAGGGCTGTTACATGGAAAAACCTTGTCTTGAAAAACAAAGGAAACAAAAAAAAAAAAAAAGAAAGAGAGAGAGAAGGAAGGAAGGAAGGAAGGAAGGAAGGAAGGAAGGAAGGAAGAAAGAAAGGAAGGAAGAAAAAAAAGAAAAGGGCTGGCAAGAGATGCTAGTGAGGATACAGGAAAGGAGAGCTGCTCTTCCTTGTTGATAGAACTACAAGCTGGTGCAGCCACTGTGGAAATCAATGTGGACAATTCTCAAAAAGCTAAAATCAGATCTACCACATGACCCGGCTAGCCACTCCTTGGCATTTACCCGCCCAGGAAGACAGAGGCTCCACAGTCTCTTATCTACAGATCCTAGCTCCAGTCTTCAGATGTGAGTATATTATCTGTAGTAACCATGGAAACCAGGGAGTAAAGGGGAGGGAGCTCTATTGAGGACTAGCAGGACACAGGTGCCATGGACGGGAAATGGGCTGGGGGGAGGGACTTGCCTGGGGAGGGAGAAGGGAAGGAAACAGAGGGAGGGGGTAAACAACACTAAGGACCTGTGACAAAGCCAAAGGAAATGGAGAGTGTGTGTGGTGTGTGTATGTGGAGTATGTGGTGAGTGTGTGTGGAGTGTGTATGTGTGTGTGGAGTTGTGTGTGTGTGTGTGGCGTGTGTGTGTATGTGTGTGTGGGGTGTGTGTGTGTGTGTGTGTGTGTGTGTGTGTGTGTGTGTGTAGTGTGTGGTGTGTGTGTATGTGTGTGGGGTGTGTATATGTGGGCGTGGGCGGTGTGTATGTGTGTAGGGTGTGTGTGTGGCATGTGTATGTGTACGTGTGAGGGGTGTGTGTGTGGGAGGGTGCAGTTTAAATGAATTCATGACTCTTTGGTAACAATGCTCCACCCAAACGCCATAAACTATGGTGGCTATTTTTAATTGGTGATTTGACACAATCTACAATCACTTGAGAAGAGGATCTAGAAACTCTAGCTCAGGTGGCCTGTGGGCGATTCTTTTATATTAATTTGCTCCTGGACTGTGTATGTGTAGAGAGGACGTTGAGCACAGACAGGCAGGCATTTTCTCTCTGCCCCTGCTGTGGGGGTGACTAGCTGCTTCAAGTTCCTATCTGGACTTTCCAAAATAGTGGACTGACCAAGAACTGAGAGCTAAAACAAACTCTTCCCCTCCAAGTTGCTTTTTGTCAGGGAATTTCATCACACAACAGAAACAAAGCTGAAACGCCTCCCAGAGCAGGTGGATCTAGCTTGCAGTGCGGTCGGAATGGGACCTCTGTGCACTGCGCACTGCTGACTGTGGTTGAAGCTGCATGTCCACCGGCCTGGATTCAACGGCTAATGGGGACCAGGCAGAGCTGGGAACTGCCAGAACTCCCCTCTCTGCACATCCCTCGGTCCCCGGCACAGCATCAGGAACTTCTTGATATCATTAGCTGAGATGCATCAAACAAAATGATCAGCAGAATCATTCAGCATTCTCCTAATGGACATTTCACCCAAATAATCCTGATCATCCATTTTGACTGGTCCAGTCTCACCCACAGGATGCAGAAACTCAAGAACTAAACACATCAAGACCACACACTTCTCTGACTTCAGGGGAGGAGGTGTAAAGTGTGATGGTTTGATAAGTATGGCCTCCATAGGTTTGAATGTTTAGTCACCAGGGAGTGGAACTGTTTGAAAGGATTAGAAGAATTAGGAGGTATAGCCTTGTTGGAGGAAGTGTGTCACAGAGGATGGGCTCTGAGGATTCAAAAGCCCCCTCTCCTTCCACCTCACTCCTCAGCCTGTGGACCAGGATGTAGTTCTCAGTGACTGCTCCAGCACCTGCATGCCACCATGTTCCTGCCATGATGACAACGCACTAAGCCTCTGAAACGGTAAGCAAGCCCCCAATTAAATGTTGTCTTCTGAAAGTGTTGCCTGGGTGGTGGTGTCTCTTCACAGCAACCGAACAACGACTAAGACATCAAGTTTATCTAAAGCCAAGTATTTTTAAAGAAAAGCACTCTTTTTAAAAATAAATGTAAGAATCATTATCATTTGCAACTACATGGCTATGTGAATATTTTATGATTAAAACATAAAAGTGTGTTATATCTTAATAACTCTAAGGATAATTTATACATTTGGATCCAGTCATACCTTTTTCTTAACTAAAAAAATATTTATACAGCTATGTTATCAATAAAAATCATAGGCTTTATTACATCACCACCAATAACAGCACTCACTAGAAAGGCTGCTATGCTGGGCAGTTTTTGTCCACTTGACACAAACTGGAGTCACCTAGACGGAGGGGCACTCAGCTGAGGAATTGCCTCCATCAGACTGGCCTGTGGACATGTCTGTGGGACGTTTTCTTGATTAATGATTGACAAGGGAGGGCCCAACCCACCGGAGGCAGTGACACCCCTGGGCAAGTGGCCCTGAAGTGTATAAGAAAGTAGCTGAGCAAGCAATGAAGCAAGCCAGCAAGCCACGCCCCTCCGTGGCCTGCTTCACCCCTTGCCTCCAGGCTCCAGCTCTGGTTTCCCTCAAAGATGGACCCCGCTCATGAAATACAAACCAAAGAAACGTTTGCTTCCCCAGGTTGCTTTTGCTCAGTGTTTTAACACAGCAACAGAAGACAGACTGGAGCAGGTCCCTAACACACTCAGCCGTGATGGAACAGCTCTCAGTGCAGTTGTGGGGAGCTGGGCTGGCTGAGCTGAGGTGCTGATGCAGATATGAGCATCCTGCTTCCCATCCCAAGCACTCCCCAGGTGGCAGCAAGAGCCGGTTTC